CACACCCATACCCATCACCCCACACCCATACCCATCACCCCACACCCTCCAAGGGGGAAACAGCAGACTCCAGTCCCTTGGAGTCAGATGGAGGCAAGCGGAGTCAGGTGGAGTCAACTGGAGTCTCGTTAATTTTTTGTCAATTCGCAGGCATTCATCATAGAAATTTGATAGTGCTATGTTTTGATTTCTTTCTATCGTGTGTGTCATCAAATAAACAAGTTTTAGTCTCGACTTGAAGATAAACATACACCATCTTTTTCTTGTTTGTGTTCAGCGCAGCCATCAATTCTAAAACTTCAAAGTCAGTCAAAAGTTGTTATTCGGATAAAAAGCATTCAGAAAAGTATTACGTAAAGAAAAAAGAATCAATTTTTTCATTAGTCTGCTGTAATCGAAATAATCGATCACTTGAAACTTTACTGTTTGTACTAGTTAATGATTAACAAGTAGTTTTTTTATTTACATATGATGCTGAAGTTAAAACTTCGACAGCAAGTTTTGTTGAAGTTAAAATCTAACAAAAAGCTTTTTCGAAGCTATTTACAGCATTTAACTGAAGAGCTTTCATCAAGAATTGGACATCATGATAGTCATTTCTTAACAAAAGAAGACCTAGTGCTGATACAATCATACTTTATTTGATTTCTTCTTATCATTAATCGCATTGCTTGCATAAAAATCACATACTTATATACGTAGCTGGCGAAACGACACGGTTCTATTTCAAGGACAAGAAATATAAAGTAGCGGCGAAGTATAAACCGAGTAGAAGCAAATAATAATATCTAAACTCAAAAGAGAGCCTTAAAATTATCATCTTAAACAATGCTCAGAAACTATTTTATTCGGCTGAGCAGCATTAATAACTCTTTATAAACACCTATTTAGAAGAATTTACAAATCGTCTAGAAGTAAATTATTTTGTTTGTTAATTTCCTTGAGTTTCCTCCCTATTTGGAGTGTTCAAAATGCTGTAAAGAATCGAAAAAAACAAGAAATTCTATCACATAGTCAGTGAAAAACTAGAACCGGGGATGAATAAAAAATTGATTCATCCATGACGAAGCTTCAAGCTTTTCATCTATCAATTCAAATAAAGAAAACGGATGTGAGTCGATATACTCATCATTCTCGCGTTGTATTACTAATTATATCCGATTATAATTGATCTTATGGAGTAAAGTTACCTATGAATTGTGAAATGAAAAACAAGTATAGTTAAAATAAGGAAATTGTGAATCATGTATAATTCCGCTATATGTAAAAGAAGGATATAAAGAGACGGCCAATATAGTACATTTGAATATTTCTACGTCAAAATAGAGCGCACACGTCATCACAACTATAAAAATGAAATATGAGTGCTACCGCTCTGTAATCAACTGTAGTTCTACAAAGACAAATATTCAGTGATGCGACACGAAGTGATTTGATCAACAACAACAAACAACTTATCTGTACTACATGTCCTACAGCAATACCAACGTCAAGAACAAGCGATAGCAGGTAACATGAGAATTGGGAAAATTATTTCGCTGTAGAATTTTTGAATATTTGGAGATATTGTTATACATGTTAGTTAGCTGGAAAGAAGAGTTTTGATATGCGACTCATCATGATGATGCTCGCCTTTTAATGAATAATATTTCATTAACTTTTGTAAAACAACTTCGACAAACTTTCTGTTGAGGTTGTAATTTCAGTAAATTTGATTGCCGAAGTTAAATTGCAGCAAGTTGTATACTTTTGATATGACATATATAATTCGTGCCATCATTAGAAACTAAGAGACAAGCGAAAAGAAACGTTCAAACAATATGATCGTCATATAGCCACAGAGAATCAGCAAAAAAGAAGACCAGCAAACAAGATTTAGATGTGGAACATCGTCTTGCTTGTACTTCTGCAGTTACTTGGACGTTCTCCTGTATACAGTAGGGGTCTATGACTGTTGTGTGTAGGATAATTGTGTGTAAGGCAATTGTGTGCAGACAATTGTGTGTAAGACAGTTATGAGAACGAACAATTGTGTGTAGGACAATTGTGTGAATAAAAAATTGTGTTTAAGACAATTATGAGAACAGACAATGATGTGCACATCAATTTATTTAATTTGCACTGACTAATACTAGTAAAAAAAAGATCATGAAAATGGTATCTATGCATCATTTAAAGATACTTGTGGTTTACAGATTTCAGGCCTTAATCCACTTTACAATTATTGTGAAGATTATTGCTCTAGGAAGCTTCGAAACCAGAAAAGAAGAACAATTTCAACACTCCCAATCAGATTTTAGAAATTACACAATTTGTTGAGGAATCAATTCGAAAACATAAACAACGCCGTCGGGGGTGATACCGATGACTTACCAATGTCATAGACTCAGCCATCCTGGATTTTGATAATTTTTCGAGGAATCTTCAAACAGAACAATCATATGTAGACAGTGAAATTTCTCAACTAGTAACAAGTCTCACACTAAAACCAATGAGGATCGAAACTCAACAAACGACATTCAAAGTTTTGTGGTTTTTAAAAGTCTTACAAAAGATAATATAAAAAAACTAAAAGCGGTTGCTCATGCGTTCATGTTATAATTGTTCACTGATTGGTTCATCGTGAATTATTTTTGTTATTTTGATTACTTTTCTTTTGTTCATTGCCTTTTTTGAGAAAAATATTTATTTACGCATAATACATACACAGTCATTTTGCACACAATTGCCTACACACAACTATCTAACACACAATTGTCCATTCACACAATTGCCTTACACACAATTGTCTGCACACAATTGTCCTACACACAATAGTCTTACACACAATAGTCGTGCTCCCATACAGTAGATAACGTCTGTTTTATATCGAATCGATGTTTTTAACTTAATAATTCGACTATTGTTTCCTTGCATGGTTGATCTTATCTATCAAGTAAAAAAATGATTTTATATTCTTATGTCCATTTTTTTTTGTTCTTTTTATATTTAACTGATGTCTTAAGCAAACGCATAAGACCTAGTCAGTAATAAAAAAAAGCTTTTTTTTAAGGAAAGGGTTATTGGAATATTCCTGTATCCTCTGCGAAAATCCACGCGCTCTTTTACTTACATTATATTTTTACTGTTATGCATGGTCAAATGAGAAAATGGAAAGCATCATGCTTCTATAAATAATAAGGACTTCATACAAGGGTGGAGTCAAGTGGAGTCATGGAGTGTGCTGTTTCCCCCTTGTTATTTCAGCGCTACATATGTAAACTAACTTCGATAGGAGAACAATGCAGTGAAGTTATCAAAGATTTGAATTCTGACATATCTAAACTAACAGTATGATCATCTGAAATCTGCGAGTACAGATATTGCAGAAGAATCAGACAACGTGTACAATCGAATATCGATGCGTTGCAAAAGATCATAAACAACGACTAGACATTCAAATTTTATAATCGTTGTAAACTGTTTATGGCATAACGTTTATATGAGTGTGATACACTCACTCACTTTCAAAACGAATCATTACAACTATTTTAAACAAAATTTCTCTCGTAATACTCGATTTCAAAAGAAAAATGTCTACGTATGCATGAAAATTTTTGATACTCAATCTTTGCGAGTAGGTGATTGTTGTAGATAGTGAATAACATCTTGCAGTGTGCGATGTTCGAATAAGTTAGTATGTGTGTAATCGGATCTTTCTATTTGTAATGCTCGTACAAGACGATGAGATGATATTGTATCTTTTCGTCGTTCAGGAAAAAAATCTTCGGACAAATCGGGTAAATGATCGAGATTGAGTGTATTCTGAACAAGTCGTTGAATTTTTTGTTCAAAAGAAAGTGATGTTTCATCATGATGATCATTTTTATGAATTTTATCAGCAGTGTGAAGAATCTCTCTCAACGTATTTCGATCATCGATATTCGACTCGACACGAGCCCAAAGTGACGGAATTAAGCGTGATGGTAAACATAATTTAGCAAAAGTGACTAAACGTTCAAACCAGGAAATGCTAACGAAGGCCGCAGCATCGTCGCAGACTTGATAGACAGCTCCGATGAAATCTTGGTTATTATTCGAAATAATTGTAACCCATACTTTACGAATACATGGTAAACGTTCGAGTTCATGTTCAATTTCCGATAGATTGACATATTGCCCATTGAAAATACTTATCGATGGATGTTCGCATTGAAAGATTTCCTTAGTTTCCGAACTACATTGAACAGTTAAGTCAGTCGAAAACATCGAATCGTTATCACCGAAACATAAACGTCCTTTACAGTTCCATGGCACGATATGATCATGATTGTCGATAACACCAACCAGCGTATTTTGTATCGGCAATCCAAGCGATAATGATGTATCATCAGAAATGTTCTTCATCAAACATGCATCGATGCACTCATCAAAACAGTACTCATTCCAGATGATAGTAGGAGTTTTCTTCTCTTGATGTTGTTTGAGACGTTTGATCAATAATACATCCGCATTTTCATAGATACCTACTAAGACAATGGTAGATTCTGACAAAGGTGAATGCGTATCATCCAGTACAGTAGCCAATTGTGATCGGGTAAACTTCGCTAATGTGAGTTGATCACATTTGGCAAGATCTTGATGAGATTTCTCAAAACTGTCGAAAACAATTATTCTTCCACCTGCACTTAGCACAGTTACAAGAAACGGGAAATCGATCTCGAACCAAGGAACTACTGTTGTCTCGCTCATTTGAAGTGTGCGGCACATCCAATCGACATAATTAAGCAAAGCACGATGATTAACAGCGTGATAGTCCGTGATGGAGGCGTTTGTATCAAGAGTCACTGCCCAAGATAGAGCTTTTAGTTCGTCAGTCGAACCTTGTCCAACAAAATCGCTTTTAAAGTATGACACTTTTGATGGTATCGATTGATGTTTAGACGGTGCCATTGAAATGATTACATCATAATCATAGCGTGTCAACTCATTTTTGATCGTGCCAGTTATAGGCAGAATGGATAAGCTGGCACCGATCGATTCACATATCTGGATGAAATAGATGTTTGGTAGAAATAATATGTGATTCAGATCATACCACGCTTTGCCCGATGGATTCGCTTGTTGATAATCATGAATAGAATCGAGCATTTCGTCACGTTTCCCCAAATCCATCACATCGCCAATGAAGAGTACACCAGTAACGGGATCAAGCAGACGAATACATTGATGAATGACATCTGTCAAAAATGCATGGGTGGGAAAACAATGAACAACACTATTCATAATGATTAAATTAAATGAATTTGGAGAGAAACGTTTGCCAATGTTCTCGGCAGATACTATATCAAATGTTACCATTGGCCATTGGTGCAGATCGAGCCGAGCACGTAGATAAGCTATCATTTGAGGTGAACTATCTGTAGCCACATACTGGCCAACATGTGGAGCAATAGCACGTGCCGTATATCCTGATCCGCATCCGATCTCGAGTACGCGCCAATCCTTCCGTAAGAAACGCTTCAGATGCTCGAAAGCATTACTTGAAAATTGATCCATTTCGGCGTACGAGAGGAGTGCACCATCGTAGAGATTCATCCAGCCACCTGCGATTCGATCATCATCATCGGCATGCGATGCTTTCACATCCCACAGCTGAGTATCGGCGAGGGAGATTATCGGATGATTATTTTTATCGTCGTCATTAATACATATGATCGTTGATAAATGAGAACAACTCCAGAGCAGACGTTGTGCATCACGAGAATGAAACTGAGAATAAATGAGTGCTTGAACGTCGGCTTGCTTACATGTTGATTCAAGACGTCTATATGGACTTTCGATGTCTAGTATCTTCAGTGTGAAACCAGCAAAGATGACAGCCAAAGTAGGCACAATTGAGTGAAATGGTTCATTGACGAGTAAAGCAATACAAGCTGGCGGATGTAACTGGCATTTGCTTTTAAGGAAACACGCCAAGTGACTGATGGATGTAAGAAGGGTCGAATATGTATGAATCATTGTACCGGTTGCAGATTGAAGGGCTGAAGCAGATCCTTGAGCGAGGCATTGTTCAAGAAGCAGAGAGCAGATAGATGATTGCCCACAATCATTTTGAGGACCTCGTATGATACTCTTCGTCGACTGTTCGTCATTTTCTTTGAATAAATCAACATCTTTTAGACAGTGTAGCATTGTCTACAAGTAATATCAATCAGTTAATCAGTTTTGAATTGCATACACTTGATACTATCTGAAACGACTACAAATGTTTATTTTTAAAAAAGAGTGGGCGTCGGTGTGGGTATGTACGGATAACAGGTGTTGGAGTTGATATTGGTATGAATTCAGCATCAACAAATGCATACATCCACATCCGTACCCACCCACACTCACACCCAGCCACTGCATCATACAATATGACTATGTCGAATTTAATGATCACAGTACCGATCAAAAAGAGGATTTACAATTGAAACCCTTTTCCTGCGATCAGTAACCAATTAATATGTTATTTGTAATGTTAGTGAAAGAAGCTCTCACAAACTTGCATCTTCTCCGTAGTACCCATATTGTTTTCATACACTGTTCGCTTTGATACCGCTTACCGTATTCACGATAGACTATGATCAGACACTTCGGAGTTAAAGCTATTGGCTTCATTTCTAAATACGAGTGATAAATTCGTATGCATAAAAAATTATTACATCTAGAAATAAATTTTAAAAAAAATTGAATGTATTATAATGAAAAATTTAACTTGAATCCAGAAAAAAATAAAATTTCTTTAATTGATTTTAATCAGTTCGAGTTGAACTGAAAGTAGTATCAATTGAACCAAAATCACTTTAAATTATTTTAACTCATTTTGAATTTATTTCAGTGCAAATGAAATTAATTTAAATTGGATTAAATTTCTTTAGTTACCTCTGAGAAAAAACTTTAACCTAGAAACTCTTCTAGCAAACCTAGATAAATGAGTATTTCACTATGTTAAGAGCACAGCAGGATCGCAGCGTGACTTTATTATACGGTTTTTTTATGCTAACAACCAATACAAACGTATGATATTCGTTTCTTCATTTATTTCCTATTTATATATTTGAGCTCATTGCTTGAGACAATGTGGATAATCCAATAATATTAAGAGAAAATTTTGATTCAAAAATGGACTGTGTAAAAACAACTTTCACAGTAACTTTAAATCAATTTGTGAAGGCAATTTTTTTTCTATTTCAATTTTTATTTAGGCGAATTCGCATTTCACATAAATGTAGAGTTTTCCACCAAAAAACTAAAATTTATGTCGAATTTATATTAAATTACACTAGTTCAGATCAATTGAAATGTCTTCAGAGTGGTTGAAGCCAGATCTCTCAATTCCATTTTCAGCTGGCTTTAAGGATATTTAAATTCTTCTATTAAGAATTTCAATTATTCTAAAGTTAAATTATTTGGAATTGTGTAGGTGTGGGTATCTTGTGAAAGAAGACTCACACCCACATCCGCCTTTCGTTGGTGGTCTCCTTGCCCCAATCATAGCCTCTTCAAGACGCACTTAGTGATATGAGCATATGAAGAGAACTGTAGAGTTTCTATGTTTGCCTTATTGATGAGGCAAGAAAAATGAGCTGATCAAACATTAGACGGAAGACTGTTCTGCATGTGTAGATGTACAAGAAAAAATTAGATGTCTTGGTCTGTTGCATTCATGCTTCAGAGATGGAGCCGGTATCGATACGAATTTCAGACTCGTCGATCTACTAGTAGACTCATCGTTACTTTTACATTAGTCGGGCACCTGTAGATAGGTCTTATTTACTTTAATACTATATAATATAAGCTTACTTGTACCTTCTATTGGCTTTCGTAGTAACATGGAAAACTTGTAATGAAATTTTTCTAAAATCTGACCATGTCAAATAACATTGTCCTGGAAGAGAACCAGTACCGCCAATGGCCAGAAACTACACTGTTTCAGATATCAGATCGACCAATTGCTGGTAGATCGCTCGATTGCCGATAGAGTACCGGTTCAGTCAAGTCTGATCTATTCAGCCTAGTACTAGCATTGATCTTCAATAAATCGGACTAGCTACATCTCTGTCATGATTTAATCAAAATTGTATTAGAAATGGCGGCTCCAACTCTAATCTCTTCTATGTTTTTAAGATTTTAGTGTAATTACTGACTTTGAATTAAAAAGTTTTGTTTAACCTTCATCATATTGTTATCACAAGAAATTATTTGATCAAATTGTATCAAATACAAATGTATTGAATGTTGTATTGAAACATCTAGCAACTCTGAACTACTATAACTACTTCTATTTAAATTACATTGGAGGAAAAAATTTCTTTATTTTATTTTATCACATGTATGCAAAGAATATTATGCCAACGACAAAAAAATATCTAAGGCAAAGTTGCAATCGATTCTGCTGCACGAACTGAAGCTTGAAGCAAGAATCGAGCAATATGTTTGTGAATAATACTTATATACGAAAAGTAGAACACAATATTCAAATTACGAAGATAGATTATGCAAAAATGTTCTAAAGAACAGGAGACACCATCCGTGTTCTCGACCAGTAACGAATCCAGGATTTTTTTATATGCTGGATCTCAGCTTCAGAGCATGAGACCTAGATGAAACTTATGGAGGGTGCTATTGCACTCAAATGATGAGTTTTAAAAAAGTTTTGTGATCGGAGTTTGTGAAAAACTTTTTTGTTTGAATCGTCACCTTCTTAATTTTGATTTGCTTTTTAGTAATATTCCATTTTTTAGAATTTAATCGTGGTTTACATCAAATTTCATCTAAAAATGTGCATCCGTTCAAAAGATATCATGTCTCGAATTTTTACCACAATTTTTGCGATATTTCCTAAAAATTCAAAACGTTATATCTCCTGAAAGGATGCATGTTTTTAGATGAAATTTGAAATCTATCAATAAAATTCGATGTAGATTATGATTAAATTCCAAAAAATGGAATATTACTAAAAAGCAAAAAAAGTAGGGAATCGCAGTTGAAAAAAAAATTTTTTTCGCAAACCTGGTCATAAAACCATTTCTTTTAAAACTCATCATTTGGGTCCAATATTATCCTCTATAAGTTTCATCTAGGTTCCATGCTCTGAAGCTGAGATCAAGTATACAAAAAAATCCTGGATCCACTACTGTTTTCGACTCGCTCGTTAGCTGATGATCTTCTTGCTTATTGGCAAGAATGAAAAAATAGAACAGGATTCTGAATCACGCTATTCATCTGGACAATGACTTCTGATATGAACAGATATCATTTAAATAACACAGACTAAATGCAAATAGTAAATTCGTAGTTACGGTTGAATAATGTTCAAGGATAATTGAAGTAAAAAAAAACGAACGAATGCAAATAAGCTAATAAGAATATGAAGAGAAATACGATTATTATCCTCTTTTATAATAGTGATCACTGATGCATAGATTACTATTCCTTTCACTCTAGTAAAAAAAACCAGCAGTCAGATAAAATAAACCGTAGGCAACGCTTTATTCTCATCTTACACATAAACGACAATCGTTATTTGATGTATAGAGAGAAAAAAAAATAACAATAGATTGGCCAATTCTCTTACATTAATGAAACACGTGCAAGTAATTAGATATGAGAGCATGCGTACATACAATTTTTGTTTTTTGTCTTACATATACTCACTGTTTGTTGCTATTTTCTAACGTATGGAGAAAGGATCAACGACGCATATGCAGATAATCTTGAGGACGTTCAAATTTAACACGTCAACAATTTTCTTTATATATAATCATAATAAGAATAAAATGATGAATTGCTTTTTTCAATAATAAATTCATTTTTTTTTCTTGCTATTGAAATTTTTATTATTGATACGAAGTATTAAAACAATAAGAATAAAGAAATTAAGAAAAAAAATGTTATTTGAATAATAAAAAACAATTTTAATAAGAGCTCTTTTGAATTTATCATGATCAAGTGATTTTTTTTTAAAACTCATTTAAATGTGCATGATCAAGGGGGTGGGTGTGGATATTTGAGAGTATATAACAACACTCACAACCCACGCACCACCCGCCGATACACACCCACACCCTGTTCCAACAGTTCTTGTGATCGGATCTGATCTGTTCAAACATATCAGATCCTATCAGAGATCGATTTAAACAGATCCTCAGACCAGAACTAAGAGCTGAACTGTTCTACCCTTAGTCGGGAAGTCGACGAGCGGAGGTGGGCTGTTTAAAAAATTAGTTCACTGGAACAACCAAAGTGGTGGAAGCGGAAGTTATGGAATGGAGCCCATGACGCATGAAAAATCTTTGCCTCGCACATCTCTAACATAACGATGCTACTGTAGAAAAATTCTGCGTTGAAAATATTTATTAGAAGAGTATACGAGCATTCAACATAAACAGCTTACACATAGCAAAAGATTCTATCGATCTATGTGTAGTCTAAATTTCTGTATTGCATAAAGCTTTGTAACTGTCTCATTTGAAAAGCCAGTTTTGTAAAAAGTAAAGGCTTTCATTTGTAAGTAGTAGGCTGGCTTACAATTGAAGCAGGCGTATTTGATCTTCAACTTTAGAAATTCATTCGTTCTTCTCTTTAAGTTTTCGATGATCAGTTGGAAGATTTGTAGATTTAATTTTTTGTGATTGTTTGGCATATTCTAAAGCCTGTTCAAGATGTCCATGTTCATACAATGCTATGGCGATACTTTGGTAGGTTCTACCCAATATAGGATGATCGGAAAGAAGAGAAGTCTGTTGAATTGCTAATGCTTTCTTCCAAAATTCAGCTGCTTTCCCGCTCATTCTTTGTAAATAATAAACTTGTGCAATATTATTATAGACAGTTGCAATCACTGAATGAGCACTTGGAAGTACTGATAGTCGAATTTCCAATGATTTTTCATACATTAGCAGAGCATCTTCGTAACGTTCGAGTTCTTTGCAGACAGTAGGAATATTATTGTAGCAAGTTGCAAGAGAAATCTAATTTGGATTTGGACTAGTGCGATGTATTCGCGCTGCATTTCTGTACATGATCGCTGCCAGCTCATACTCTTCTTGTACAAAATAGATTCTTCCTAAATTATTATATGTAATAGCAACTGACGGATTAGTGTCAGCATTCGTCAAATATCTTAACTTCAAATCAAGTGATATTTGGAAACAAGCGACAGCTTTATTCACCTGTTCCATTATTTTATACTTAAGGCCAAGATCATTGTAGACGGCAGCTGTACATCCAGCATCTTGACTCACAACAGAATCATTAAGTGACAATAGATAGAACTGCTCAGCTTTCTTGTAGCGTGCAGTTGTGCCCATCAATTTTGCCAAATTTATTAAAGGAATAGTTTGAATTATGTTGCCTTTCACATACTTCGTTAATTGACACAATTTTTTGTCTTCTTCACCAGTGAGCTTCAATATTACATGCCATAATCCATTTTCCATCTTACTGATCGATGTTATGCGAAATACAGCACCCATTGTAAATAGCATTTCACCTTCATCATCACCAAAGGCACTTTTCGTTGATATATTTGCATAGGGAAATTTATTTACAGTTTGATCAATATCAATTTGAAATAAAATACGTTTTGTTTCATCTTTTTCATCAATGATGCTACTGCTAGTAATGTTGTCACTAACAAAAAATGCGGCTAACTCTTTGTTTGCCGTTGTTGACAAGAATGTATTAACTGATAGAAATCCATTAATATTATAATGAATTTTTCGATCAAACTCATTGCTATTCATTAACTGTCCTCGATAGACAGTTTCAATATTCGAAGTCGTAGCATTTTTGGTATCAGTTTTTGATAAACTCTGCAGTTCCATTAGTTGTTCATGTAAATATTTAATGAAATATCTTAGCGCATAGAGTGTATCAATGTCTTGTTCTCTAAGTGCAGTGTTCAAAAGGCGATAAAGAAATGTATTACGTGTATACCAAAAAATAGTATTGCATGGATCGTAGTATTCTTTGAATTCTTCGATAAACACTAATTGTGCTTTATTATCTGCATACTTTTGACGACAATAATCAAGCATTTCATCTTCAGTTGAATCTATTTGAATTAAAATTTCTCTTAAAATTTCTGCATACATAAATTCAGCCTCTTGACGTTTTGTCTCTTCATGAGAAAGAGACGACGATGATGATTCATTGATATCAAAACTGGGTAGTGAGTTGAAAATAAAATCTTCGGCTGATAATCTATTTATTCTTTGATGCTTTTGCTGTTGCTCCATTGGATCAACTGATGCTTCTGCTGATTCGTTGTCTGTCGTTGGAACTAATTTTAAGTTAATAGAATAGCCACGTATTTTAGTACCTTCTGATAATTGTATCATATCTTCTGTTACGTCAAGACAAAATAAATAAATAGAATCAATTTCGACTAAATCTTCCATCAGCTGTATAAATGCTGAGTTTACTACATTTACAAGTGATAAGTCCATTATCACAAAGAGTAATATTTTTATTGTTCCACTGTGTTGTCGAGTTATCTCAAATATTCGATCGATGCATTCGTGTTTACCATGCAATACTGTAATGTCATCAATGTTGTTTGCAACATTGCTTATTAAAGGATTGAACTGTGATTTGACGCAGTCATCTTTAACTGGCTGTGATTCATTCAACCAAATAATAGGTCGTTGATTTCTTTCGTCCATACTGTATTGTGGCTACCCTTTGAAACATATAAATATATTATTCTCTTATTACTTTCATCTGTTACTTTTAAATTTTTTATATCCGGTTTATAAAATTATTCATCATAGGGAATATCAGTGGATGTTGCATCAAGAAATTGTATTGAAATTGTTTCGAAAACTAATAAAAAATAACGATGCAAGAACGGACGCAAAGAATGCATTCTGTTTTGAACATTTGAATGATTATTTTGTAAGAGATAAAATTATTTACGATACGAAAAAATAATGGGGGCAACACATTATTTTTCGCTTTTTTTTTGGTAACCATGTTGCATCGTTATTTTCGTTCTGTTCTCAGCGAATCCAAGTAATATCAGCGGTAATTCTATCAAAGATTTATTTTATAATTAGTACACTTATTCCGAACATAGAAACTAATGCAGAATATATTCTGAATCTGTCGTCAACTAGGACATACACCATGTTTTTTTAATTCAATTTCTTAGAATAAACAGGAATAGAAAAATCTAGTATCCTAAGTTGCAATAGAGAAAAGAAAGATAAAAATATTAGATTTTACAGATCGTTTCTGTATTTTGTATAAAACAACTTTATAATTGTTGAATATTGGCAGATTAATCTCTCCAGCAATTGCACACATCCCTCTCCCTCTTTTTATCTTTCAACATTTTCTGATGAGATTTAGTCTAGGGTCTGCAAAAGAGGTGCATGCTCTTACTCTTATCCTCAATTTTTATAAAATTTATCGAATATTTCAAAACTTATGTGATCGACATCTTCGAATGATTTTTTTCTAATAGAAATAATGCATTTTTAAAGAATCTTCAAAAGAGCAACTCTTAATTAAAAAAATTTGTTGTAATAACTATATTTTAATAAAAATGATTCAATGATGTTTGAATGAGTTAAAAAGTAAACCATTTCATACCTTATGTGAGTGACGGTAGAATATGTTGGTTTTTTCCAAGTTATTTCTTCTTTCCTCTTGCTTCTCGTTATACTAAAAACAAAAATGTCGAGTGTTGCACTTTTGCATTACACCTTTTATTTCTTTGAATATAAATCGTGTTTGATCAAACGTCTTCTCATTCCTTCATAATTTTTCTCTGTTCGTTTACGTCTGTTTTTGACTGTCGGAACTACTAATTTCATGTTATGTTTGTCTTCGGTCCCGAATCTTTATCTGTTTAATAGCAACTATATCTTGAAATGAACCGTTAAGTCTTATTCTATACAGTTCAATGAGATATTTTATACAAGTTGGATTGATTTACATTTGTCTCTAATCTTTTGTCTTAGCTATGATGGTTGCATGTTACAACTCTTAACAATCATCAAGTACTAAGGAAGCGTTTATGAATCTATTGATGGCAACGTTCGAAATTAAGACACTAATATAAACTTGTTTTTTGATTTGGTGTCAGTAAACAGAATAGAAAAGAAAAAAAGCTTGCAGTTAAAAAAAAATTTTTATAAATGGTATCACACATCGATTCGTTCTGTTGATGTTGTTCTAATGCATTGAGAGGACAGAATAGACATAAAAGCAGAACAAAAAGGTAACAGAAACAAATCATTCTATTTTTGGGGGTGTGGGTGTGTGGATGTGGGTGCGGGTGTGAGTGTGAGTCTTCTTTTCATCCATTCACACCCACACCCACACTCCACACTCCACACCCCACCCACACCCACACCCACACCCACACCCACACCCCTTCTTTTTCATTTCATTTTGAAAGTGAAAACAAAACAGCCGAAAGAAAAAAAGAAAATTTAAGGGTATCGTGGGATGTTCGCAAGAAACTCTTGTCACATACGAACGAAATAAAAAAATCGTTTCTGTAGTTACCGTTATAATGAAAGACTCATTCCTCATAAAAGAAATAAGCATTTATGTTAGTAGAAATTCGATCATCATTTCTGAAATTACGTGTAGAACTTGTCTATCGCATTCTGGACAATTTCGATGAATACACAACTTTATTTTCGGTTCGTAATGTTTGTATGCGACTGAATGCAATCACAGACACATATCATCGATATCAGGTAAATTCAATCCCCCACATTTTTTTCCGAAAATAAATATTAAATAGTCAATAGCCTTACTTTCGAATAGACATTCAAGGCACTCGACCTCTCCGGCAATCGAATCAAAGGCCAAGAAGTAAAACGTCTTGTCTATGCATTGAAAGACAACACCGTAAATAAGTGTCGACTAATCATCTTTCTCATTTTGATCTCAATCTACTTTTCTAATAGACATTTACCACACTTAATCTTCGACTGAACTATATCGAAGAATAAGGGGCAAAAGATGTTGCCAATATTCTCCTAAGCATCACGGTACTATACAATTTACTATTTACTACCTTATCAATTTCTTCTATTTACACAGGCACTTGATACACTCGACCTTAGTCAAAATCGAATCGGAGACGCAGGAGTACAGTATATTGCTAATGCTCTCGTAAAAAAACATGGTACTACGTAATCTATTAATAGTCCTGTTGATATTGATCTTCACTTTTTGTGCAGACACTTACTACACTGCACCTTAGCGATATTGAAATTACAGATCAAGGAATACACTATCTTAGTGATACTCTCACAAAAGCTAAGGTACTCAACAAGTTACTATACATTTTCGTCTTATCAATCTTCAATTCTTGCGCAGACCCTCACCATACTCAGTCTCCGACGGAATCAAATTGGAGACCTAGGAGCACAGCATCTTGCAAATGCACTTACAGCCAATAACGTAGTGTGGAAATCACTACTCCTTATCATGGCGTCCATTTTCGTGTTTTATTCAGACCCCCGTCACACTAGATCTTTGCAGTAATGAAATTGAAGATAGTGGAGTGAAACACTTTGTCGATGCTCTAAAAACTGATACGGTAACTCATTATTCACTAGTACTTCATCTTGTGGGTGTGGGTGTACGTGAATACGGGATCACCCACACCCACCCACACCCCTCAATTATCGAGGATCAACTGGATATGATGATCGATTTCGTCATAAACCGTTAACTCGACCAGGAAAAGATATTCTATTTGGCGTCGATTGCCTCATAAAAGATGGATGTGGATGTGGGTGTTAGCGTGGGGACGGAGATGGAGATGAATCTTCTCTTCATGTAAGCTCACACCCACACCCTGGATGTCCAACAAGTTTTTGTCCAACTGATGCTACTTGCTCAGAACTAGCTGGTCAATGGCAATGTGCATGTGATATAAATAGTTGTGTTGGAAGTAAACAATTCATTTATTTGTTTATTTATTCATTTTTATTTATTAATTGTAAATTAATAAATTTCGATAAGAGTGAAATTTCTTTTTCTCTTAATTTATATTGAATATTTTCATTATGTTGAGATAGATATTCTTGTGAAACTTCGGCAAATATTTGTCGAATTTGATCACGTATTACATTTGGATATTGACGATTGATATTATCAATCATATCATTCAGATCAAGATTTGGTTCTTCATTAGCAACTGTTGTAACTGATAATGATTCACGTGAAACTTGATCAAGATCAGTTCCATCAATGGATAATGGAGTTGGTGAAATTTGAAGAATAATTTCACGATAAATAGATAAAGGAAGAGCTTCTGTTAATGGATAAGGAAAAAGTGGTTCTTTGAATAAACGAAAATCGATCTACGAAAAATAAACAATGAAAAACTTCTTTTCTTTGAATTTAAAGATTCTTTTTACTGTTCTGTTTTCTTCAATTTTTTCAATTTGTTGAGGCTTTTCATCAAGTAATGTTTCATAAAGATGTCGATGCTGAAAAATTATTTGAATAATATAATCAATTACTTTTCGATATTGTTGAGAATTAAACAAAATCGGTTTTTTCTGATCATTTCCGCCCATTAGAATTGAACATGAATGAATAAATGCTTCATCTAATTTTATAGAATTTATTTTATTTGTTCGTTCGATTTGACATAAAAGACCATGAATTAATGTTAGAATACAAACAATTTGTTTATGAATATAAGTTGACCAATGTAATAAATCATTTAAAAATGATGTATATAAATCAATAAGAAATTCATCACGAAATGTTTCACGTTTAAGTATTTTCGAATTTAATTGAAGAATATGATCGAGAACAAATTGTTCAAGTTGAATTGGAAGTGGAAATTTACCTTGATTATCATCAAATAATTGTTTTATTTGTTCAATTGATATAAGAGAATGTGTAACGAAATCATTAATTGATTCAAATCGAAATAAATCAATATTCGAAATATCTATAAACATTGTTTTATCTATATTTGTGTATGTTGTTTGTCTGTCTATCAACAACTTTTTTTTCATCCTTTCCTTTATTGTCTACCAAGGCAACCGATTGGAGGTCGACCCTGGTTTTTTTTTGTTCTTTTCTTTTAGTTCAAAATCCTTGCGACATCTATGATCGATATTATTTTCCTTATTATCCTGATGCATCACGGTTCATTCAATGCGATCAAACAGGTGTCTTTTGGATCCGTAAATGTGCTTCAGGTATAATATTCGATTCTAAAATAGGTGTATGTAATTATTCACCTGTTGTTGTCGAAACTGGAAAAAAAACAAAAAAATATAATAAACTTTCAATACGAACACTGTTTTTTTTTTTATTATAATAAATATAAAATGTAGAGTCATAGTTTCGTATTCAAATAAAGCACAATGAATTCATTATTATGAGTGGAAGAAAATATCTAGTTGTATTGTTTCTTTTAATCAAAATGTATTTCTTTTTCTAATTATTATTACGAATA